AAATGTTGCATCTCTTTCTCTTGCACTGGCAGGTAGAACTGAAAAGTTTTTCGGATGGTTTTGATGCAAGATGCCGTATGTTTTTTTTGCAGGGCTCCCATTCTGCGTATGTCACCGAGTTGATAGTCATACCTTTGTCGAAACCAAATCCATTTGCATGTCTGCAACCACACCTTAGCAAACATTTTTACATATGTGAATGTCTTGTTGTCCATCAACGGCTCCATCTCCAGTAGAGTCAATTATAGTGCATATATATATATATACATATGTAATTACATTTATGTATATGTCCATGTGTATGTGTAGTAGCAATTAGTACATGCAATAAGCACAAATGCGCGTTGCCAATTTACCATACGCAAATCGATGTGCAGTTTTATCACTCGATGCAAACTGCGAATAGAAATATGTGCCTTCATCCTCCAAGGCCACGACGGTGCATTGGCTTCGTGTTGGGTGACCAGTGCCAGGTACCGCGGCTGGTAGTCCAAGGGAGAAACATGGAGGTTTGACATGAAGTGTGTGGATTTCAACATCATTAAACAACAGAGGTATGCAAAAATCAGAATGTTGACCAGAACTTGGTTTGAGCCTACCACGGTTCAAAAAAGAACAAGATTTGACCAGTCATCATGGGAATGCAACTGAGATAGTTGAGTCAAGGGAAATGGGATGACAAGAATTGGTGAAATTGTCCATGTTCCATCCCTAAAAGATGAAACGCATGAAATGACCCCAACTGACTGATCTTCTTTCGGTACTTGATTGCTGAGACTTTTTTCCCGTCGCTACTTTGTCCTCAGATGTAGATTACCTTGTACCGTAGATTCATCAGGTATCGGAGGTATCGGACAATCCTAGTGCGGTTCGCCACAGAGCTGGGGGCCAGAGGAGATCCCGTAAGAGCAATTCAGCGCCCCAGATTAGCCAATACCCAGTGGACCTAGTCGTTGCCCTAGTCGTTGCTCTAGTCGTTGCTGGCATGGGTTTACTTAGTTTACTTTGATTCAGCATGTGTTTTACGACACATTCATCTACATGGCGCTCGATATACCTCTTTCATCATTGGTGCGTGTTTCCCGATATGTTTAGTTCTTGTGTAGCTAGCAATCAAAATCCGCTGGTGGGTTCAACTACTTTTGTTCGCATGCCTGCCTAAGATGATGACCCGGCATGATTGAGTTCTTCCAGGGGTTGAAGTCAGCAACAAACTAAATGGTCTTGTTTCGCAGCCTGCATGTTTGTAGGACATGGCAACCCACAAGAGGGGTAATGGATGCCATGCCAATGAGCAGTTGATGGTGGAAACAGCGAATCAGCACCGCACAATCTTTACGCACTTGTTGTTGGTAGTTGTTATCCTTATTTGGTCTTGATTTGCATCTCTAAGTATACCCTACTAGACCAGTTTTCTCATGGGTTTAAAGGGCGAAATCGCCCAAAAGCTGCCACGTCAGGCGCAACTGGGGAGTTGCAATTACACCATCACACAGCAGGCGGGATCCCAAGGCGATTGGTGGCTATGGTCATGGCGTGATCAGCGGTCTCACCATCACCTGTTTTTGAACAGCATTCCAAAAAAAATCCAAAACATGGGTTGCTTCCAGTCTGCAAAGTAAGATATGTTGCCAGTTATGGTGCTCACATAAGTAAGAAAATTAGAGCATAATCAGCGGAACAAGGGCATGACTAACCGGCAGATGTGCAAGCAGGCATTTCCAAATAAAGGGTTTCTTTCATGTGCCGCAAGGTTTTCCAGTTATCCGCAAGCATACACGGAATACAGCAAAAGCATTGAAAGGCATCAACGTGCGGACACACTTTGATGCTGAATTGTCAACTGCAGGATTATATCAGTGGAGGGTTTCTAATTTTTGCTGAGACCACACTTTAATTGCCCAAAGAATGTAAACTCATCAAATCCTCTTCATCAAGATGTTTCTTGCATATCCACGGTCATGAATAAGACGTCGCGGCAGCCCAGGATTTATCCAGCCATAGCAGCGGCCTGTGCGTGAAGCCCTCAAGGAGCAGTGCAATGTGAAGATGGGCGGTAGATGCAGATATGTTGGGCATATAAAGTATAGAACCACCATGAACTTCTGCCATGAACCGCACAAAATCAGGAAAGCGTCATAATCCCGGTGGCTTAGACATGGCCAACAGACATGGAGAATGAGACAGTGAAAAATTTGGGGTGTGATTAATACAAAGCTTGGCACCTTGCAAAAAAACACGGCGGCTATAGACATTTATAATTTTGTATATTTGAATAGAATCTTCTGGTGCCCAATCCCCTCAGTTATGTGATGTGGCATGTACCTAAAAGTCGGGGTGTCTTGGGGAAAGAGAGTTGGCCTTTGCTCAACAATGTTGAACAAATGCACCATGGGTGAGTTTAGGAGAACTCGCAAAGCCAGAGGCTATCTGGATCTATTTGGTATGAACCCGCTCATATCTGGATAGCTCGATATATTCCAGAGATAGCTGAGGTTGTTTATTTCACCAATGTTATGTTTTAAATGCACAATTTACATTCCCGTGTTCCCTCATTGTTGGGTGATATGACTATGTTTGTCGTTATTTTGTTCTCCATAATTTGTTCGTTGATAGCCTCATGTGTTGTTGACCCATTGGCACTCGTTTCTAGCATCCCGAGGTGTGCAGCAGCATCATGGACAGCGTCCACGCCGCGGCAGACAATGCGAATCGTCTGGATGCCCATTGGTTGATAGAATTTGCTCGGACACGCATGGGTGCACAAATCATCCCGAGTCCTTGTTTGGCCACCTGAACTCAAGAAATCGCTGTTGGTCAACATTTCAACTGTCATAGAACAAGCAGAACAAGCATTATGTTTGGACGTGCCCAACGGTAGGGAGAGGCCTGTTTGAAGCAGCAGAAGTTCCCTATCCCAATCCACTTTTCTTGGCCATTGTACCCCCATCATAACCCAATACAAGGGGAGAGGGAGTTGCACCCACATGATATCATGATGTCCACGTTTTAGGCATTGCAACAACAGATCGTATCATTATCAAGACAAGCACTCCTGCAGGCGTTAGCCCATGTAACCCCAAGATTTCTCGCCTTAGACTGCCCAATGACTGTCTTGGCCAAAACCCGACTCAAGTAAGGCTTGGCGCGTTTGACGGCAGAACTCCAGTCCTTGCACTTCCTGTCCCCGAAGGCAACTGGTGGTCATTGATTGCTCAGTAATTAGGGGCTAGGATGGAAAAGTGATTGGGGCTGAGGTTCTTCAGATGGGACCCCCACCACAATGAGATAACAGGTAATTGATCCTGAGCCGGGACATGGGGTGCAAATTGTTGGTGATGCTTAACGACCCTTGCCCCCTTCATGGGCCCTCCCAGCATGCAAGCAGTGAAAGGCCAATCAGTTGCAACACCCGGGAAAACCCCTAACTGCGCGATGATTTTTCAAAGACCTCTAGCTACTCTAGTTGGATCCCATATAATATCATGCAATGAGTGCATATTAGCGCTATGTTGTCTATATTTTGGGCTATGCAGAAGGCATTCGCCAAAGTCTGAAGCCACAACTTCATCGACTTCTCACGGCTGCAGGCCCACCGGACCATCGCTCCAATGGACGTCAGGGTGACCCAGACACCGGCGCTGGCAAGGCGTTGGAGTAAATATAATATATAATAATATTATATATATATTTTTGAATGGTATTTATATTCTTTTCTAAGAGGGTGGAGAAACCATGCGAATGATTCAAAATTTGGGGCGGTTGCTGGAATGCTGATCGTTTTTGAATGTATTGTTTGTGTGCCGGCACCAATGGTAGTAGAAGATTTAAAAAGGAATTTGCCTAGGTTTGTGAGTAACTTTTCTCAAGGAATCTATTCCACTGAATGGGGAAACATGTACATGACATTCCATCACCCAAACATTGACAGTGTTGTGCTTTCCTTCAATGGACATGTTACCTGGATTTATCGCAGCATGCCCAAACTGGAAGTATGTTTCCATACATCAAAAGCTGCTTTAGTTTCCAATCTTGATCTCTGGGCGTTCTCCTCCCAAGCTCATATATGTGGTGCTTTCCAGCACTGATCTTACAACGGTATTTTGAAGATGACAGTTCGCGAATGTGCCTGGAATTGGTGGGCAAAAAGACCATTGGAATATAAGTTCTTGAAAGAATCCCACACCAAAACATAGTAGAAAAGGTTAAAGGCATCTACCCCACCAAAGTTCATATCTACGAGAGGTGAATATCAAATTCCACGTGTCGGATCGTGTAGGTTATATCATCTCCCAGTATGTTTGGAATCGCAATCCACAAAGAAACCGTTTGGCACGCCTTCGTTTTGGCCTCAGGTGATTGCCGCTGCTCAGGCTGCGGATTGGACACGTGGTGCAATGATGGGGTTCGTACATGCTTGGCCCAATGAAACGAAAACGTATATACCGTATATATCATGTTTGGAGCGTGTGTACCATTCTGTACCAATACAAATTCCACGGGATGCCTTGACTAGTAAGAGTGCAGACATCCTGGATCCCTTGGCCGTGAAGTTTGGACCCGCGGTCATATAGACTTCCAGAACCCTGTGATGATGGGCTCCATGACAACTTTAAATGGGCCTGTCAAGACCCCAATCAATAGGGTTATCTACTGGTAAAATCCCTCGTTGAGTTATAACCGGAGGCATCTGATCACAACAGATAAAACTGATGCCATTGATGTAACTACAGCTGGACATGATACCCACGAGCAGGATCCATCATCGCCAGACTCCAGAAATCCAAGGGCCGCATTTGTCGCTCGAGTGCTGCTGGAGTTGTCGGCGCGCGACTTTGCCAGCAAAAAAACAAAACTGATATTCCGTGTCCATATTAGATGAGCCACAAATATGTTTGCAGCCAACAAAAAATATGCTTATTTAGAAGGCAGGGTAGAGCCTAGGTGAACCCAAGTGAATCATATCCCGATGGCGACAGATGCGCCAAAGTGCGCTACCAAGACGCTGCATGTGTCAACGCCTACGGGAGAAGACATCGAGCTGAATCTGGGTGATGTTTTCATGGACATTTTTCAAGGTGATTGCTTCGATGTCGATGGCATAATACCCATTTTTGTTAGCCAGTGATGTCGTTGCTGCCAAACTGTTAAGAAGCGGTTTGGCTCTTAGATGATCTTCTTGACACACATGGATGAAATTACATTGCTCAGGAGTTGCGAAGATGAGACGATTCTGCAGCTGAAGATGCGATTGCAAAGCTCCGAGCAGGTGGGAACAGCCCTCCATGGGGTCATGGGGTCAGCATGGGTCAATACCCCATACCCCGATGAGATGATAAGGTTCATTTCTAAGTCAAGTAGGGTTGTAAACCATGTTGTACATACGTAAGTATACGTAAGTGTGATTGGCCCCCTCATGATTGAAGAGTGACGTTTTGTAGAAGTTTTGACTCGGTTTTGATCAGATAGCTTTCCAACAGAATCAAACTTGAATGCGGCTTTGGTAGGTCCTTTGTTCGAAGTGGAGCATTTGTTCCTTTTGATGGTGGCCCATTTTTTGACAGTCAGATGCCTAGCAAATCAATCTATTGCCCTTTGCATCTTTTTGTGCAACGCCTTTGGGAGCAGAAAACCTTTGAAAATTCGTAGGCGAGTATAAAGCAGCATGGTGCATTGGTACAGGATTTTTGGGTTGGTGCATCATGAAAGTGTAGGTATACGTCACCACCAAACGATGCATCATCCCAAAATGCACCCTGGTTAGACATGTATTATGAATTCTGATCAGTGCATGGGGTATTTGGCAAGGAGGATTTGAAGTATAGCAGTTTCACATTGGCAAAAGATGGCAAAAGGGCCCCTTTATTTCCCATGCTGTTCGGCTTTTATGTATAAAATACAAAATTTATAGTGGTGGTCATGCCCCCAAAGGCGATGTTTATGGAGCAAGTCAAAGGAACCCTGATTCAGGGTTCAGCATACCCGACGCCAAAAAGGTTATATCCGACAGAAATCATGCGACGGGTATTTCGTTTAATGTTAGGCTCGTCATTCAGGATCCAGGAATAAGACCAAAACGAAACATGAATGAGAAGGGGATTGAATCTTGAAAAGGGAAAAGAAATATTGTGGGAAGGGACGGGTGAAATTTCATCCGATCAAATACCAAAAATGTATGCCCCCAACAACCCCCGCAAAATGATTGTTGCAACGGATACCCTTCATGCATTTCAACAGTCAACTGATTTAACTCTTGAAATCTTCGCCTTTTTGCCTTTTCGGACTTTTCGGACGTGTTTTTGCACGCTTTTCTCGAAGCTCCAGGTGCCCGAGAAGTTCCGCACCGCTCCCACGCGCGCCCTTCGCTTGGTCTTTGGCACCGAGGTTTCTGGGAGCAGAAGCACTGTCGTTTATAAAGCAAACGATTAATATACCGGGTTCACCCGGGTTCCTGGTATGATGTGCCATGATATAAGAACCGGTTTAACATGGCACAGCCATGGTGAAACCATGCAAAACCCAGACATGATCGGGAAAAGTGGTTCAGAAGTTGCTGGCACTATGGGATGTGCAATCACCACTGCTGCTAGCCACTTCAGATTCCTTGCTGAGGCCACGGATGACAGATCCTATTATTTCATAAAGGTGAAATATATGATAAAAAGCTACCTGGATTTGGATGCTGATGTTTGGCATGATGATCATACCACTTACTGTACGCATCGAGTGACAGGGACCAAGACCACATTGTCTTCCCTTTTCTGCCGCAGGATGAAATGTTCTCTTAGAATAGCGTACTTGGGCGGGTAACAATCTAAGTTGCCCTCCTAACGTAACCTGACTGGAAACCGAACCAAAAGTCAAATGCTCAAGGTGTTACCTGACGATCTACACCTATCAGATCCTGCAGGCCCAAAGGATGGCGATGCTCGACAGGATTTCAGTCCTTGGGCTGGTTTCAGAGGCTGATTTTGAAGCTGAGAAATGTGGACATGGTGGAACAAGCGTGTTCATGTTGTTTATGTTCATGGTGTTTTGGGGTTTGGACCCAATCAAAGGATTGTTTGGTGAGTAACTAGATGATGCAATGATTTGTGTTAACGGTAGATTCCTATCTGGAGTTTAGAAGGTCAAAATGTGAATGGCCTTTGGTCCAAGCTTTTCTTGTTTTGGAGACGCTCATATAAGGACCAGTTGTCCTTGATCGTGTCTCTGGCCCCTTGTGGGATCTACAAATCCGAAATAAGATCTTTGGCCGCAAGCCATCCCAGTGTCATTCGGTTGGCTCCGCCCAGACTTGGCCGGCTGCAGGCTTAGCCAAAATAGTTCCAGTCTTGACTGGAACCAAACTACTTTTCTTTATTTTGCAAAATACTAAACATCATCTTTTGGAAGCCTACCGAGAGTGAGCATTGATCCTGGACCCAATTTCTTTTCAGTTGTTCGGAATCAAGGCAACTGAGCCTGCTGATTCTAACTATTTGGGATGGATTTGGGAAATCACCGCTCCATTTGTGTTGGCCCGATCCCCAAGCCCACGGATTGAATCCCACCTTTCCTTTGTTTCATCTTCCTATTTACGTCACTTCATATCTCCAGGGTTGCTTGTTGGACAACATCCCCATTTTGGACCCAAGACCAAATCAAACGATGCGTTGACAGCTGGCATGTTTCAGGAAACTGCTCAAATTGATTTCTACCCCAAAATTGAAGGTTCAACTCCAACACCAATGATGGCTTTATCCGTGGGGATCTGTGTGCCTGATTCATCATTCATCATGAATTGGAATGGTTCCAATGGTTACCTATCAAGCAATCGACCAATCGAAATTTTTGCGGAGGTGAAGTTGGTCACGGGCCCGCGGCCGACAACACCTGGATCATTGCCTCGGCAGATTTTACTGACCATGGCCACCTGGTGGGAAATGAGCCAACCGACCATAGGAGTGAACCAACCCAAGAATTTGGATGAAGCAACCAAAAGCGAGACTCAACTGACCCAAAAAACGATTCCCACAACTTTAACAGCAGAAACCCAGCAAATTGTATCATCAAAAAAAGTGGTAGGAAGCTCATGGATCTCATGGTATAGCAGGCCGGGGTGCAGATATCTGAAGTAACCACCACATTTTGCGCCAAAATCCTTTGGGTTATGTTGGATTTTCAAATCAGCCAAATATATCCAAATGTATCCAAATGTCCCAATATGATTGAGTGGCCCAAAACGAACACAAACGTGTCTTTCTGAGATCACAGGAAGTTTCGGACCGAAACCTGGAAGATAGTCATGAAACTTTACAGTTTGCTCTAATGCTGTGTAGATCTGGTCTGGCTTCCACTGGCTTAAAGCTCAAAGGGACACCACCAAAAAGACCTTTGATTGATAATTGATTCGTGACCCAGGTGATTTCACAATCACGATGGAGGAATCAGAGATCACCTCTGTGCTTGGGCGACAGTTTCTGCACGAAGCCTCAACAGGCTTTACCGATAAAAATGGGGGCTGAACCAGAAATGGTAACGTTTCTAATCGAGCTGAAAATGGCGATTCGCCCTTGACTTGAGTGAACCTGGGAATGGTCGCTGGAATCCGCTGGTTATTTGCCCACTGGGCCATCCACAATCTAAGACACTTGGCCAAGCTACAGGGGAATACAAGTAACATCAAGTATCTATGCATTTATATTTATGGGCATGTTGCTATGCATTTTGTTTGGCTGCTCAATCAAACCCCTCCCTCTGATCAATGGTTGTACTCAATGTCATTAGATGGGAGACAGCCAAGCCCTCAATCATGCAGCTATCTCGGGATGGCCATTTTGTTGGGCCACGTGTTGACTGTGTTGGCGAGCAGGCCCAGCAGGCCCAGCAGGCCACCGATACTGAGGATGATGAAGACGAGGACTACGATCCTTATGAGAACCGAGCGGAGACTTGGCAACGCAAAATTTGAGGGGAAAATGTCAGTTGGTAGTGAAGCGGGGATATGCGGGGATACAACCCCTCAAAATAAGTTTGTCAACCAATCATCAAAATCTTAGTGGTAGAAGCCATCAAAGTTGAATGTGACTGTTTGGCAATCCTGCCTGGCCCGTCACTCCCACGACGGGGGTCACCCCCATGAAAGCAGTTAACAATCGTGATGACTGACCAGTGGCAGAATTCGAGGGGTAATCAAAAATGCCGATCTGCCTGTGCATGGCAAATCACAGCGACCACAGATTCCACAGATCCATCATTGCTTCATCACATCCCCACATGAAGAAGACAGATTTGGAATACGTCCTCATGAACCGACGCATACCCAATACAAACCAACATATTCAGGAAACAGGAGGGCCACAACATTGCGGACGCATTTTGAGGTTTGATGAGGTCTGATGTTTAAGCAATTTTAAGCACCTGTTCAACGTTAGCCAAGGCGTGGGATCATTGCTACCGAGGCAGGTTTGGAAAGACCACCCAGACGGGTGACGGAACCGCAAACTGATGAGAAGATATGAGAAGCAACGGATTTTGGATATTTTTTGCCAGATGTTGCCAGATGTTGCCAGGACATGAGAAGTTGGGGGTGATTTGAGCTGGAAAGATGGTGGTTTTCACAGCAAATGCCCGGCGAATGTGTGGTTTTTGTGGGGCGGTTCACTTTGGTCCATGCCCATGGGTTGTTCTAGAAGCCCTTGTTCCAGTTAATCCAATCCCGCATGGTTGCTGCTTGAACACCCCTTTGTGATGATTGCCGATAGCCACAGCATCCAATTTCCAACTTTTGGTAAACAACCCTAGCAATGGAACCCCGAATCCCCTTATCTTCCACAGGAAAAAGCAAGAATAAATCAATACATTACATGTACTGTATATAGAATGTATCTATATATATATATATACATACAAATATATACACCATAAACCAAGATTGCTGAAGGGTAGGTATCCCAGCCGAATGCATAATTAGCAGGCACAGTACAGATGGATGGCTCTGACTTTCGCATGACCATTACCTCCATGGAGCGCCCCTGGACCGGATGGGCATACCATGTCGCACATAAGACAGCTTGAAACCCCGAAGTCAACATGAGTTGGGACCGATACATATGGATACTATGATAACCCCCGGAAAATCTAAGTTTGGTCTCAAAAAAATGGGCTGAGAAATGTTGAGAATATGGTTCTTTATAATTCATGTTGAACTTGCCATTTTCAGATTGACAGCAACCCGGTCTTTTCCTCTGGCTCCGGTTCTTGCTTTTCTATGCCTTCCCGCGCCCTGAAATTCTTAAGCTTTCATTGTCTGCTATACTCTTGCTTCCTCTTGCCGTCATTTCCTTTCTGCCACCTTGTTAAATGCGAGAATTGGACACAAGATAAGTGCAACATAGAAAGACAAAAATGCTGAGAAACCAAAAAAAGGAAGCCCTAAAACTTTGACAAAGGGAGCAAAGACAAAAAAAGTATCAAAATCTTGACAGAGCAGGAAAGCAAAGAATAGCCCTGGACCTTCGAAAATGCCAAGTACATCCGAGTACAACATTACACAGGCCAACAGAAGATTCACAACATGCCTTGATGGTCACACATTTCTTGCGCAATGCCACTTAAATTGAAAGACCGGTTTGGGTTCCATGTGTTGATATCATTTGCAATTGGAACTTACTTCAACCAACAGGCTGGTGGGCGGTTGGTCATTTCCCACGGGACAGGTGCTTCAATCAGCCCGAAATGGTGGAACCTTAGGTTGTTTCCAGAGGGCTCTGACCAAAAGTGCCTTCCTACAAAAATGGTGAACGCTTGACCCCACAAGTTTGGCCGCAGATGGAGTGAGCATACAGGATCAATATTCAAGAACACCCAAGCGTACAAAGACTTGTTCATGTTACTGGCTGCTGTTGTTTGGCCCTGTCAAATTCTGTCAAATTATGAAAGCCATGAAGATAATTACAATTGCGGCCATCTACTTGGCGTTGATACTTCTGCCCGTAGACCCTTGCGCTGTGGAGCCTTCGGTAGCCAAGGTAAAGGGATTTTTGACGACAAGCTGAGTCATGGTGACGAGCTGCTGGGCAAGCTTGGCCACAACCAGGCCGCTGCATCCAGCAATTGGGAAGCATGTAGAGGCATATCTTGGGAGTGAATTGCGGCTTCACACATTGAACAAGATTTCCTTTGAAAGGGGTCCTCAAGGTAAAAGGGGTCCTGGCCATGTTTCCTCCCTGCGCACCGCATGCGCGCGCCAAAAAGGTCCCAAGCATGAAGCAAATCGTGTTAAATTGACACATTCCATCTAAAAAGTGGGCCACGTGTTCAGCCATTCATAGAGCAGTAGAATGGACCTACTACCAACCATTCATTCGATGCGGTTTGCTATGTGTAGATTTTTTTGTGCAGATAGATATAGATAATTATCGATATATGTGTGTCTGCGCGTGCACATGCATATTCTATGTACATCTGCTGGCCGAAATAGCTGGTTTGATGATAGGCGCCCAATATCGTGGGGTTCTTTCGGGTCGGTACCGAGAACAGTCCTATGCAATCCTTTTTGTTCTTTGTTTGCTGCACGAATGTTGGCTTTTGCTCTCTTGTTCCTGATTTAGGGTGTTGCCATGTCTGCCTCTTTGGCATGTTTGCGATGATTTCTTTGTTTCATACTTTCATGTACATATGTTCATCTATCAATTTTAGCAACATCTTCTAAGTGTTTTGCCTTTGTGGCTCAGCCCTTCAAGCATTGGGGTTCCTGCCTGAAGGTGGAGTTGCAACTTCCTTTCGCCGCGGGGGGTTGTCCCGCGGACCAGTCCGGTGATGATGGCAGGTGCTCCAAATACAGGATCTTCCCAACAAATCATGTAACAAAAAGATGGGTTGGAAGCGGCTTTTGCTGCTAGAATGGCCACTTGGGAGCTGCCTACCGTTGATGGAATGATATGTTTGCCTCAGCGAACAGTTTGGGTCACAAATCCCATCAACAAAACATTGACCGGGTGAACTGCCAACTGTTGAGTTTGATAGTTGGGAATTGTTTGGAAAGTCACGATCCTTGTGTTTTTATTAGTATCTTTAGTGACATTGGTGTGTAGGTTTGGCTACACTTACCGTTATTGTGTCCCACGCTGCTCATCTTTTGGTTGTGAAGAATTGTACGACAGTTTGTTCCAGTTGCTTGATTGTAATACATTGTAGTTATTTTGATCAAGGATCGATTTATTAGCAAGATTTATATATATATATGTTATATACATATATACATATATATATATTATGATATTGTATGATATTGTATGATATTATATATACACATTTTATATATATACATTATATTATATATATATTCTACTATGGGGTGCTTATGCTCCGATTATTTGAGGGTCAAAGTCCTTGGTGTCTGGTTGCTTCCTACTTCCCGCCAAGGCAACTCCGGCCCGGGCCCGGGTTTGCTGTGGATCACCTTAATGCAAGACATATCCTTGGAAGATCGGCGCCCAAGTGGGACGAAAGAATCACTGTAGCCCCGCGCCAAAGGCGCAAGATGAAAGGTCAGCTGAAGGAAACAGTGAATCACCTGAAGATTTCCAGCTTGGTAAGTCTAGTGCCTGCATGGCAGTTGAGAGAAAAGTGGATCTTCACACAGAATTGCGGGTTTTTTAAAGAAAGAACATGGGGCATTTCTGAGATGGCAATGTCTTCCGATCCCGACCATCATTTTGTGCATGGATTTCAGGAGAGAGAGAGAGAGAAAAAAAAATCAATACTTTTCCAGGATGTCATGTGCTCCATGATTTTCGTAAAATACCTATCTTTCTTACTTCAATTCCATGGTCATGTTCTTTCGCGTGGCCCGTGGTATCTTCATGTTTTTCTTTTAAATGTGTTTTTTTGCCTTGGCAAATTTAGTGTCCATTGTACATTATATTGCTATTGAACGCCATTGATATACCTGCGTTTTCCTGCTGAAACATGTTTTGGAGCTCAAATCCCTTCTTTCCCAAAATCCAACCAGCTGTGTGGCTTCCCTTTTTTCACCCGCGTTTGGTTCGCCATCAGCCAGGCCTTAACCCCCACAAACCGATCCGATGTCCTGGCGGCGGTATTGGAGATCATCAGCCGGCGTGGGGAAACTGAGATAGTGGATCCAAGGGTCCAAACTGGGTAACATTTCGTTACCAGAAAACATCAGAATTCAGGGTCTATTTTTTGAAAAGTCCTCATAGAGTAGATGGAGGTGGATCGTAACAATGATGCATAAGCCCCGCGGGGTTGCACCCATAATAAGCATCAGACAGATTAAGATATATATGTATATATATAATACAATAAGGCGTGTCTAACGCCGGCCAAGACTTGGAGGAGATTGGGACATGCATAGGCCATTACTTCTGACCAGTGATGTTTGGTGCATGTTTGGGAGAAAGAGATGCACACAGGTGGTGGGAAGACAGAAGGTTCGGGTCAAAGGGGGTTTCAAATTGAATCACCTCTCCAGTGTTTTTGCACTTGGCTGACTTCGAAGTTTGGACATTGGGGTGGCCTTGAAACTGACGGATTTGGGAATGGTTCAATATATAAAAACTGGGGAAGCACAGATTGGCAAGTGCTGTCATGACACCGACCATCCTGTTTTGGCGGGTAATGATAATATCTCAAAAAAAAACCAATGTCTTCAATGATTCCATACCAAGGTGAAGCCAAGCTGACGCCCCAGCAGGCGGGAGACTATCCCTTTACTCTGCTCAGTGGGGCCGAAATTGAAAATCATTGGAAGTGGGGGTTGTTGGGAGATGTGTACCTGTAATATATATATATATACATACATATACACATACACACCATGCATTTACCATGCTATTGATCTGGACGTAAACTTCAGGGTTCATCCCAGCAGGTGGATCGGATTTTTGAAGCCGTGGGGACAGCCAACTTGGACTTAGCAGTTATGCTTGTTTTTGCTGTTGGCCCGTTATGCGGGAAGCTGTTTATGCAAGCCACTGAATTGACAACTGCCATATCAGCATAGTAATAAATCAAACACACTTGATCCTCACAACTTTCGCCGACGTCCCCTTGTATCCATCATTGTCCATCGGCGCGTAGATGTCTTGGTGCTTGGGACCCTGCCAGGTTGCCTATGCTGCCTACAGCGTGGCGGCTTTGCAAGGCCTCAATCGCTGGGAAGCTCAGCCAAGTAGTAATTTCAGTTGCGAGCAGGATTGGAATTGTATTGCCTGCAGGTATTTGTTGGTTTGGCGAGATATGGATACATATCGACCCGCACTTGTTCTGGATACAGTGTGTAGGTAGGTAGGTAGATAGATAGATAGATTGATTGATTGATTGATAGGTAGGTAGGTAGGTAGGTGTATGTATGCCGCCATCCTTTGGCACAGTTCCATGACTGTGTCGCTTTCAGCAACCTGCCTGTCAGCAGTCCCCTGACTCACTCTGAAATATCGACCCCAGGTTTACTGGTTAATTTTCGACTCATGCATTTGAAGAAGACCGCAGAAATTACAGTACGTTACCTGAAAGTCTCCTGTTTGATTATATGCTGTTCATGGCCTAGCCTCAAAGCGACCAAACTCATCACAGCAGATGGGATGCTTAATTATCATAAATCATCACCAGCCCCATCACACTATCTTAATGAGAAGAGCAATGATGATAATGACAGGCACCACCATCAGCACCATGAACCCCATCAACGGCAAGAACAACTATACGTGCTCCCTCATCCTTCCATATACATCTATATACAGTATCATGATGTATCATCTAATTAGTCTGTATTTATTATCCTTCGTCCATCACTCACCATCACTCACCACTCACCAATCATTCCACCATCCAATCGCCCAGGCTCAGAGGCAGCCTTGGCCGCCGTGGAGGTGCAGCCCCGATGACCAGAACCAAGCAAGGAAAAAAGGCAGATTTATCAGATACCGTTGATACCGTTATATGTATGTTTTTTCTTTCCATGCTTTATCCATGTTCTAAACATGTGTATCCAGCCTTATCCCACTTATCAGGCCAAAATGACCTTCAATTCAGCTTTTCATATTCGTGCCAATGGCCTTTTCTTGGACTTCGATATGTGCCAAGTCACAGGTCTCCACATTGGATGAGGACGAGAATTTGGCGCCTTTGGCGGTGCGAGGCCCTGGTGCGAAGTGGAATTCCGCAGCAACAGGGCAATAGGGTTTTGAAAATTATTGGATCCCTCAACCTTCCTGTTTCGCCAGTAAAGCTGTGAATAGTGGGGTTTGATTAGGCTTGACCAGCTTGGGGAGCAGTCTTCCATTGATGCCATGCAGGGCCATGAACAGGTAGCTGTGTAGAGAAACCGGAAGAAAGACATTACAGAGATAGACTAACCCAGACAGGCAAACAGAGATTGATGCCGATGAGCTTGGGTCAAAATTCCAGATCCTCCGAATCACAGGTTTGTGTTCGGCTTTCAGTCTTACACCATCCCAATTTGAGGCCCGAACAGAACTGACACATCCCCAAAGAATGCGCCATTGATATCGCTGATATCACCACGCGCGTTCCCATTTCACCAAGGAAGTCCTTTTCTTCCAGGGGATGGACCTAGCCGAGGTGGGCATGATGCTGGAGGGATGCTTGAAGGGTTCCTTTATCGATGGACAGGGGTTTTGCCCAGGGTTTTGGAAAGATGGTACTTGTATTATCTGATTATCTTTTCTTTGTGGAAAATAATTGAATGGGGGTGCAAACTTTATAAGACACACACAGCTGCTTGAGCTTTTTTATATTGCTTTGGACCCATCATCTCTGTATCATCTCTGTTAGACATTCAATTTTTGGTAGGGAAGAAACCAAACTGACTATCATGAGGTTTTCAAGATGGCCGCCCCGCGTTCTTGGAATTGGCTGAAATATGTTGACACTAAGAATCAATCATTTGAAGGGCGGAGAAATATAGGAAACTTGCGCACGGTTGAATTGCTACCCTTAATTTTTCCTGGCTACACCATGCCCAAGGGATTTACATGTCTGGTTGCACACCCTATGTATGTTTTGTGGATCTGCGTGGGCTTACAGATGTTTATGGTAGATCTGTCCAGTGCAATTTGCTGCGTTGGTTTCCATCACGTCTGTTCATCTCATCAGGCGAAGGCTTTAGTGGTGGACACTGCGCTGGGGTGCACAGCCTGCCATGAGGTTTTTGATGGATTGGGGGAGGTTAACCAACATTCATAGGAATGTTTATATTGCCGAGAAGTGTGAGGGGTGAACTCAGGATTTCATGCCCCTGGTCGATTGATTGAATGTGGGGCACACCGGGTTCTCACAAGGACCCATAGACTTTGGCTATTTGTGGTGGGCCAATCAAATTCAAATTCAGAACATGCAGGCCAAGGATTTTGAAACTGCCGGGCGGGGCCGTGAAACGCTTTGTCCAGATCTGTATGTTGGAGCCTCGCCCCTAAGAATGCTTACGACACTCTGACAATCAACAGCATAATGATAGATATATCATACATCGCTCCTGTATCAATATAGCTCCAGGGAAAAATCAAGCCCATAGGACTGGCAGGGCTTTAGGCGCAGATGTCTTTGTGACCGAGGGAGCGCTTGCCGCGGGTCTCGGCAAAGGCTTTGCGACAGGCGGGATGTACAACTGCCAGGAAGTTGGATGAACAGTTTTTGGGCCACCACCAAACAGCAAATGATTTTGAAATGGCTTCAAAAGCATTGAAATATTCATATAAATCAAATTTGGACTAGACTCTTGTCATCTCTTGTCTACATCAGGATGGGTATGGTAGTTGGATCTACAGCACCAAATTACCAAGGGCGTACTTTGTGGAGGATGTGGAGGGCCATGTCATGTCTCCCGTTGTGACATGTTGCGACCATCCGGAACCTATTGCAGCTTTGTGTTCGAGTGCACTTGCATCACGGCCAAGACGATTCCAATACCCAAATCAATGACGGTTTCGCTGAGAATGTGGAAATCAGAATATGTTTAGAAAGCATGCGTCCTTGCCAATGTGCAAGTTCCAACAAAGTCCGTAAATAGACAGCAAAGCAACCTGAACCCAATGAAAATTCAATGCCATATCTTGTTGTGTTGTTATTGACTTAAGTTTGGATGTTCACAACATGTGAAGTGTAAGGTGCGTCCCTTGCCCCAACTAGATTTTCGATGTTTCAGGCCCCAACTGGTGACCTCGGTGACTCCGGCATTCATCCAGAAGCGGGGTAGCCATCTCGTGTCTACTGTTAGGCCTTCTGGCATTTTCAACAGCTCCAAGATTCTTCAAGGCCTGGTGGGAAATGGCCCGAGATCCTGCGGCTTGGGCCCGGCTTTTCACAGATGTTTACCCATTCCAATTCACAAATGGCCCAAATGGCATTACATTCGTCCCAATACATGCGAGGTGGGACCCCACCAGCGTCTTTACGTTTGTGCACCTTGTCGTCACCCAGCACTACTTCTTTCGATCATACTCCAACACAATGATGGCCAGCGATTTCGACTATCCAGATCTGCATGTTTCCCTGGTTGGCTCATGCCGGTAAGTGGTAGGGGGCCGTGATTGTATGTTAGGCTCTCCGGTCCGATCCCACCGCAGGCAGCTAGTGAGAAGCCGGATCATGGACGATTTTGAAGGCCGCAGAAGGGACATCTGGGAATTTGAAACCCAATCGAAGGATATGAGGCCCCATATTCGACCAACTGTCGCTATATTAAAAATCAAGTATGGAAGTGGTACCAACCCAAAATGGTGGCGTGGGCAACAACCATTGCATGTTTCATGGAGAATTCCTTCATGCGGCCTTGATGCCACATGGGCAAAAACAACAACGGATTTGATGGGAAACGTGAAAATTTTACTTCAATGTAACATGTCTCCATTTTGGATCAGACACAAGACAATTTCCCATAGTCCCATAGCTTCAATTGCAGGGGCGTACCGTGAAGGATCTCACCCTTTCCACAATGTTGTGCAGGTGGGCCTGCCTTCAGCGCATATCGAGATGCCCAGGAAGCGGGGTTTGAAGAGGGAGCTGGCAATTACAAATCCGCGGGTACAGCTGCACATCCCAACACCAAGGATATAAACCAGACACCTTGCGCCTCCAAAAGAGCGATGCAGCGATGGTTGCGATGGTTGGGGGTCTATGGTCCTTTATATGAACCTAACAACTCCTAACGACGCCGAAACATTGGCGATGGTCATGCTTTTTCAACCTGTCTGCAAGACCGCCCAAAATCACGCAACGGGCAATAACAGACTAAATGCCTCTCAAGCTGCTTTTCAAGGGACAGCAAGAGGCAAGAGGATACATTGTATGTTCTTGTCGACTTCCAACTGTTTTGGCTGAAACCAGCCTTGATTTAACATGGATAAAAAGTATAACTAATAATTTAACCCCTCAAGAATGAGGACATGGCAACGTCCCTTGAAAGATTATTGCTGGAAATCCATGCCATGATTCTTTATCATTTGGACTATGAGGACTTGGACCATGAAGTGGGGTTATGAAGCAACCATCAGCGGGTCCCTTGAACGTTAATGCACCCTTCTGAAATTGCATGAATTGCAACAAAGATCCGCAAAGACCTGGAAGGGTCATGGACTGAGAGGTTGTCTTAGTCCTTTGACCGTCTCCCTTTTGCAGGCTTTCCAGGGTCTCCAAGTGGCAACCGCCCATGCAATTTCTGCAGGGGCGGAGGCGGGGCCTGAAGTCTGGAGTATGGGAAAGACGGGCAGGAGAAGGTTCAGTCTCAAAATTTGTATCTTTTGGTTCACATTCGAGCGTTCATCTATATGATTTGAGGCGCTTGGCCTACAAGAAAGATCAGCTCCAAGTAACTAATTTACCCAATAATTATCAGCACATTGAATAAATTTGTAGCTCCATTGGTATTTGAATTTGGTGCCATGCCCTTTTGCTGGAGGTTGCAAGCATGAATACCCCTTCAAGAAATAAAGGTTGGCTAGATCTGGGATTTCCACCCGCTCTGATTGAAGTTGAAAATCCACACGTATAGTTTTCTGAGAAGGTCAAGGAAGAAGTAGGACCACCATTACGCCAGACTTCAGAGCATTGACAGGCGCAGCAGATGCTGTCCTATCACATGGCCAGCGGCTACAGCTACAAACAGGCGCACCGGGACATACAGGATTTCAGAATATTTCACATAACCGGGCGGCCAGCAGTGTGTTGGTGATGAGTCAAAACTAAGCACTCAAAGCATAAAGCCAGGTAGGCTTTACCGGATCTTTGCCAAGGCGCCAAGGTTTCACACACATTCCCATAGCGTTGTTGATCTGATCCCCTTCCTATGTCCTTATGGGTTCATCCTAAAATTGATAAAGTTAATATGTGCTTCATGCCTCTTCAGACAAGGCCAATGCGGCTTGTTATTGTAGGAAAAGCTGAACATGTGTGGATTTTCCAGATAGGCCGCAGGTGTCTCAAGCTTTTTTTGGCTCCAACACTTTTTCAACACTTTTGGTACGCAAAAGGTCCAGCCTGTGGTGATTTGTGAGTTTGAAGGTTCGCCCATTTGTAAGAATCCGCTTTCTGCCCGAAACGTGTCAAACGCGCTGCAGGCACTGAAACTTCTGGGCGCAGAGGTTCGCAGATGGAAGCGGCTTATGCAAGAGCGCACTGCAGTTGTGATGTGAGCAGTGACGGACCCCAGGACCCCATGAAAACTGAAAGGCAATCCCACTTGGCTGCGTCTCATCCATGAGCGCTCTTTCTTGCAAGTAGCTGGGCCCTCAACATGTTGTTCATCCTCATAAGTATCAAAGTCAAAATCATAATATAATATAATATAATTCATATAATATAATATAATATAATATTATATTATATGATATAATATAATATATATAATATATAATATATATAATATACATATATATACCATAATAATCAATAATAATCATCACCATGATCATCATCAGCAGCAGCAACAGAAGCATCATCATAATCATCATCATCATCATCACCATCATCATGTTTTCCTACTGTTATGATGTTGTTCTTGTTTGTCCTTGACATGTTCATCGTCACCATGATCATTGTCGTCAACAACTACCATCGCTATCATGACTATCGTCATGACTATGGTCATGACTTTTGTGGTTCTCATCACTGTGAGCAGTTGGCACTATCACAGTCTCATTCTGATTACTTTGCTCACTATTAACGCCGTCATCGTCATCATCATGTTTCTTCTTTGGCATGATGATGTTCATCATTATGTTCTTCTTCTACTTCTTATTAATACGTGTCTTCTTTTTCTTCTTCTTCTTCGTCATCATAATGAATCTTCGGAATATATTATTATTGTATGTCAATCATATCATGTCCATTCATATTGCATCATACAGGCTTTGCTTAAGTGATGTGTGTCTTGATCATATCGCCACGTGTCCAGCATCCTCACATCTCCGACATCTGCTTATCACAGCAGGGGAACATCACGGAAGAGCTGACGCTGGCAGGAGCTGAAACCGCGATGGATTCCAGGGTTCCCGAAACTGAAACTGAGGAGACCATGGTAAAGGAATGTAAAGAACAAAGTTTATGCATTGATATGGATTGATTTCAGCACATGTGAGCAATATTGATGTGTAACATTGTGTAACCATCTATTGCGCAGGAAAAGAAGAAGTCCAGCTCAGCAGTGGTTCGGGTGTCCACTCCTGATACCGCCACAAAACATTGGGTCACCAAGGAATATTCCACGAAAAACAAATGAACTTGGCAAGAGCGGTCAGACAGCCCCAATTCTTGGCCATATTTGCAATATATATTTTTTTTTGTAGCACCATTTCGCAGAAGCTATGAGCTGCTGACCAATAGGACAGCGCCTGACAGAGCAGCTCGCCGTCCCTGCGGTGCCGCGAGCCCAAGAAGGTCGAGAGGGACGCATAGACCCAGGATTTCGGCCTCTCTGAATCTTTCCAACAAACGGATGCTGCATTTTTTTAGTTTGAAAATTCGGCGCCGGACAGATGTGTCAACAATGAAAGGTAGCTTTTGACAATAATTCATTCGTATGTTTTCATATGCATTTATATAAGCATGCATGCACGCGTCCATCCATCCATCCGTACGTACGTACATATGGCAGAAATGTGTCTTTAATTGCATTCCCCGATGCGCCTGAGGCAATCTGTAGACAGTTCCTGGTTCCAGAGCACAGGAGATGGGTGCAGTTGGTTATGGACGAGGGTTGAATTTGCGACAGGCGGCTTTTATTTATTGACAGAGCAGCTGTTCATAACTAAAACGGCGACCTTTAACTTTAGTTTGATTTGGGCCTTTGTTTCTTATATCACAACCACAGTAATAGAATAGGATGCAGCATTTCTTGACGTTCACTTGTTCCTGCTTGGGTTCCTGCTTGGGTTTCTACTTGGCGGTGGAGTGCAAGAAACCTTCCATGGGTAACTAAGCATCCTAGCAGAAGGTCTATTCGGTTCCAGCTGTTGGGGGCTCGAGCTGCCGACCTGGCAAAGGTATCGCAAAGCTGTGAAGGCAAAGATAGGGCGAAAAACATCCAACGAAAAAATCCGACAAAAATCCAGCAAAGGCCTCCAAAGGTCTCCAACCTAAAGCGAACTGAATCTTGGCAGTGGTAGTTGGGGAATTGCGGTTCCACCAGCTTTCACCTTCGGTGATAGGTTCGAAACCCTGTGAGTATGTTCTGCAAAGGCAAACCGCCATATCCACAGAGCGTTTCTGTATATGTCAACTCAACCCTCGGCACGGCATCCTGCAAGTATCATCGGAAACATTAGTTTTCAGCTGTTCCAACCATTCCAACCTGCCATGGTGGAAGCAAAGGTGTTCCGGACCTGCTGGGATGATCAGTTCAGTTCAGTCAGGGCGGTGGAACATGCATACCTATGTCATTTATGGTTCTTTCGAGATTTCTACGGGTTACATGCGGGTATCAACTCATGGTTCGAGGCTACATCTTATTTTATCGTCATGAAATATGTTCCCCCAGATGTCGGTTCGTGGTACTTGCTGTCATACAGACCCATGTGCTGATGGAAAGCGCCTTGTAATATCTGGTCTGTTAGTACGTACATGCACAATGGGAGTATATGTTGTTATTTTGTTGGATATGTATACAATGCATATGGTGATCGATCTACAGGTCCTTGTAAAGAGCTTTAACTGCGAAGGCCGTTCATGTTATGCTGGGAACCCTCGCGAAAGTTCTTTTGCGAGTTTGCGAAAGAAATGTTTTTATTCGCCAAAGTTTCGCGAAAGCTGGATATTATGAATCATTATCATTGTATACACTACAGCTTGTTAAGGGCTACCACCTCCTGCCGCCCGGGGGTCCGGCAGGAGAATGGTACTGCACATTTACCTTTCCCTTCATAGGTAGCAGCCAAGCTTCCGAAGGTGAGGCTTCGCTACAGCCAAATACCACGGTCTTGAAGCGCATCCTTGCACCTGCCGCTCGTACTGCCTAACGTTGCCTTCTGAAGTTTCAAAAAACAAGCGCCAAATGCAGCAGCCAAGCTTCCAAAAGTGAGGCTTTGCGAGAGCCAAACACCAAGACCCCTGGCGTTTGCTTTTCCTCTGATGCGCCCCCTGCTGGTGGCTGGGGTCTGCGGATAGGGGTATTTTTGCGCGAAAGTTCTGTGAAGGAGTGGGCGAAAGTCAAAGTGCATTTTGAAGGGAGTGGCCCAGTAAGCCTTGCAACAAAAATTGCCTATAACATAGACCCGGGCAAGCCGGCGGCGGAAGTTTCCCAAAAATAAATGACCTATAGTTCGAAGAAAAACCTGTCCCGACCGTGTCCTTCCCTCGACAAGCGGTTTTTTTTCAGCGAGAGACGAAGCAAAGTCTTCACACTCCACACTCCACACTTCACACTGCACTCTTCCCACTCCAAACTTCAAACTTCAAACTTCACACTCCACACTTCACACTTCACACTTCACAGTCCACACTTCACACTTCTCACTTCTCACTGCTTCCTTCACACTCCAAACCTCACACTTCACACTTCACACTGCGCTCTTCGCACTCCAAACTGAAACTTCACACTCCACACTTCACACTTCTCACTTCCCACTGCTTCCTTCACACTTCACACTTCACACTGCACTCGTCACGCCCCACACTTCACACTGCTCTAAACGTACGTCCAACAAAAAAACACTAGTGCCAAAATGGAGAAAATCTGCTAACAAACCCATTTCGCAGCCTTCACGCAGCCACTCCAAGACGATTTCCGAGATCCAGCTGCAAAAGACACTAGTATTACGAATGCAGCCACAGCACGAAGCAACCTTGACGCAGCCATTACAATGCGATCTGCAGAGACTGAGTTGCAAAACTCAACAGAACTACGCGCAACGGCGTCGGAAATTGTAGCTCCAAAACCGGATCTCGACGCCAGAGCGAAAAAAAGACGATTTTGAAGCACTTTTTAAAGAATTTTAGAAGGAAAATCACTAGCGCCAAAATGGAGAAAATCTGCTAACAAATCCATGTCGCAGCCTTCATGCAGCCACTCCAATACGATTTACGAGATCCAGCTGCAAAAGACAATAGTATTACGAACGCAGCCACAGCACGCAGCAACCTTGACGCAGCCATTACAATGCGATCTGCAGAGACTGAGTTGCAAAACACAATAGAACTACGCGCAACGGCGTCGGAAATTGTAGCTCCAAAACCGGATCTCGACGCCAGAGCGAAAAAAAGACGATTTTGAAGCACTTTTTAAAGGATTTTTAGACGGAAAATCACTAGCGCCAAAATGGAGAAAATCTGCTAACAAATCCATGTCGCAGCCTTCATGCAGCCACTCCAATACGATTTACGAGATCCAGCTGCAAAAGACAATAGTATTACCAATGCAGCCACAGCACGAAGCAACCTTGACACAGCCATTACAATGCGATCTGCAGAGACTGAGTTGCAAAACACAATAGACCTACGCGCAACGGCGTCGGAAATTGTAGCTCCAAAACCGGATCTCGACGCCAGAGCGAAAAAAAGACGATTTTGAAGCACTTTTTAAAAGGATTTTTAGAAGGAAAATCACTAGCGCCAAAAATGCATTTCGTGCGAGACTTCCTTCAAAACTCCATCGGCAACTCATCCACCAGCACCACTTGCAATCCCATTTACATTGCGGGAACGATCCTACAGTTGCAAATCACAATGGAATTCTGTCGACCACACATGCACGAAAAACAGTTGAAACCCCATTTACAATGCGGAACCGATCCGAGACCAATCCGAGGATGATCCGACCACACACGACCGTCTCGCAACCGTCGCACCGCAGAGGTAGATCATCGAGGTTCGGGGACGGACTTTGTATGGAAAAACATAGGGTTTCGTGCATCTGCTATCTCTCAAAAACGCATTTCGTGCGAGACTTTCTGCAAAACTCCATCGGCAACTCCTCCACCAGCACCACTTGCAATCCCATTTGCAGTGAGGGAACGATCCTAGAGTTGCAAATCACAATGGAATTCCATCAGCAACTCATCCACCAGCACCACTTGCAACCCCACTTACAATGCGGGAACAATCCTACAGTTGCAAATCACAATGGAATTCTGTCGACCACACATGCACGAAAAACAGTTGAAACCCCATTTACAATGCGGAACCGATCCGAGACCGATCCGAGACCATCCGAGCATGATCCAACCACACACGAGACCGTCTCGCACCCGTCGCACCGCAGAGGTAGATCATCGACGTTCGTGGACGCACTTTGTATGGAAAAACATAGGCTTTCGTGCATTTGCTATCTCTCAAAAAAGCATTTCGTGCGAGACTTCCTCCAAAACTCCATCGGCAACTCCTCCACCAGCACCACTTGCAATGCCATTTACAGTGAGGGAACGATCCTAGAGTTGCAAATCACAATTGAATTCCATCGGCAACTCATCCACCAGCACCACTTGCAACCCCATTTACAATGCGGGAACGATCCTACAGTTGCAAATCACAATGGAATTCTGTCGACCACAAATGCACGAAACACAGGTGACACCCCATTTACAATGCGGAACCGATCGGAGCATGATCCGAGACCGATCCGACCATGATCCGACCACACACGAGACCGTCTCGCAACCGCCGCACCGCAGAGGTAGATCATCGAGGTTCGGGGATGGACTTTGTATGGAAAAACATAGGGTTTCGTGCATCTGCTATCTCTCAAAAACGCATTTCGTGCGAGACTTCCTCCAAAACTCCATCGGCAACTCCTCCACCTGCACCTCTTGCAATCCCATTTACAGTGAGGGAACGATCCTAGAGTTGCAAATCACAATGGAATTCCATCGGCAACTCATCCACCAGCACCACTTGCAATCCCATTTACATTGCGGGAACGATCCTACAGTTGCAAATCACAATGGAATTCTGTCGATCACAAATGCACGAAACACAGGTGACACCCCATTTACAATGCGGAACCGATCCGAGCATGATCCGAGACCGATCCGACCATGATCCGACAACACACGAGACCGTCTCGCAACCGCCGCACCGCAGAGGTAGATCATCGAGGTTCGGGGACGGACTTTGTATGGAAAAACATAGGGTTTCGTGCATCTGCTATCTCTCAAAAACGCATTTCGTGCGAGACTTCCTCAAAACTCCATCGGCAACTCCTCCACCAGCACCACTTGCAATGCCATTTACAGTGAGGGAACAATTTCTTTGCTAACTCTTTCTGTGACTAACTCTTTTCCTCACCAACTCTTTCTTTGACTACCTTGTTTCTTTGCTAACTCTTTCTTTGACTACCTCATATATCCTGACTAACTCTTTCTTTGACTAACTCTTTCTTTGACTAACTCTTTCCCTCACTAACTCTTTCTTTGACTAACTCTTTCCCTCACTAACTCTTTCTTTGACTAACTCTTTCCCTGACTAACTGTTTCTTTGACTAACTCTTTCTTTGACTAACTCTTTCCCTCACTAACTCTTTCTTTGACTAACTTGTTTCTTTGAATAACTCTTTCCCTCACTAACTCTTTCTTTGACTAACTTGTTTCTTTGCTAACTCTTTCTTTGACTACCTCATATATCCTGACTAACTCTTTCTTTGACTAACTCTTTCCCTCACTAACTCTTTCTTTGACTGACTCTTTCCCTCACTAACTCTTTTTTTGACTAACTCTTTCCCTCACTAACTCTTTCTTTGACTAACTCTTTCCCTGACTAACTGTTTCTTTGACTAACTCTTTCTTTGACTAACTCTTTCCCTCACTAACTCTTTCTTTGACTAACTTGTTTCTTTGCTAACTCTTTCTTTGACTACCTCATATATCCTGACTAACTCTTTCTTTGACTATATAACTCTTTCCCTCACTAACTCTTTCTTTGACTGACTCTTTCCCTCACTAACTCTTTCTTTGACTAACTCTTTCCCTCACTAACTCTTTCTTTGACTAACTCTTTCCCTCACTAACTCTTTCCCTCACTAACTCTTTCTTTGACTAACTCTTTCCCTGACTAACTGTTTCTTTGCTAACTCTTTCTTTGACTAACTCTTTCCCTCACTAACTCTTTCTTTGACTAACTCTTTCCCTGACTAACTCTTTCTTTGACTAACTCTTTCCCTGACTAACTGTTTCTTTGCTAACTCTTTCTTTGACTAACTCTTTCCCTCACTAACTCTTTCTTTGACTAACTCTTTCCCTGACTAACTGTTTCTTTGCTAACTCTTTCTTTGACTAACTCTTTCCCTCACTAACTCTTTCTTTGACTAACTCTTTCCCTGACTAACTCTTTCTTTGCTAACTTTGACTAACTCTTTCCCTCACTAACTCTTTCTTTGACTAACTCTTTCCCTCACTAACTCTTTCTTTGACTAACTCTTTCCCTCTAACTCTTTCTTTGCTAACTCTTTCTTTGACTAACTCTTTCCCTCACTAACTCTTTCTTTGACTAACTCTTTCCCTGACTAACTAACTCTTTCTTTGACTAACTCTTTCTTGACTAACTCTTTCTTTGACTAACTCTTTCCCTGACGAACTCTTTCTTTGCCTTTCTTTGACTAACTCTTTCTTTGACTAACTCTTTCCCTGACATTCTAAAAGTCCGTAACACGGAAGTTTCTCCCCCTAAACTTCCTTTGATAAAAAAAAAAAAAAACTTGCGCAGCCACTCCAACATCCATAAATCCCATGCCATCACCCCTGTTTTAGGCAGGTTTTATGGATCTTCGTGGCGATGGAAATCCCTGGCATTTTCCGCAATTTTCTGACATCATCCCCTGCCGAGTCCTTGATCATCGGTCTGTTCCACCTGTTGAAAGATGGGATCATAGGAGCTGCCCTCCGTCACCGTCACGATCAGCGCACCCAGCCGTTCCGGCCGTTCCGGCCGTTCCGCCGCCGCGGTCGGGACCGCGGCGCCGGAACTGAGCCGCAGGCGCTCCACGTGGGAAGTCGCGCCGGGCAACGCTCCAGGACCAGGGCTGGGGATCTGATAGACCTGAGAGGGTTGAGGTGATTCTACCATAATATCCCATTTTTTTGCTGCAAAAAATGGATAGAAAGGAAAACATGACTAAAATGATTGACATGATGGTCAAGAATTCTTGAATCTTTAAGGAGGGTGTTTTGTAGTTCATTCACATTATATGTATGTATATGTATATGTGTATATGTATATACATATATATATATATTACGTATGTATATGTGTATATATATATTACGTATGTATATATATATATGTGTATATATATATGTATATATATATGTATATATATGTATATTTGCATATATACATATATACATATATATATGATGCGTGTGTGGGTTTAGTGAGTATAATAATATTGACTGGATTATAAATGGATTCTATCCCAGTCACCAATAATCTAATGTCATAATATGGGATGGACCATGCCAATGAATAATCCAGAATTTATCAATCATTTTTATATAATTCTCCCGGTTCTGAACCAAACCATAAACCAACCCCCATTGACCATGGATCTTTCCATATCGGGAGCATTACAAGGCCATGACGCAATGAGGTGTTTGTCGTTGGGTTTATCACATTAACCTGTTTTTCCGCCAAAACAATGGCCAAAAACTAACCAAAAGAAGGGGTCAATCAAAAAAATAAAAAACAAATTGGAGCCAAAAAAATGGACAGAAATCAGTAATGAGTGTTTGTCCACGGTGAAAGTGAGCCTTCAACCACTGCTTCACCAGTGATTTGGATCGGTGCTTTGAAATTCACAGATTTTCACAGCCCCATAGTGACAATCTCCTTATTGACCAAGCCACCTGGGGTTGCACCTGACTTAGCATCTGCCATTGCGCTTGCGGCGCTTGCGGGGATTGCAGGCCCAAATTGCTGAATCCCTGGACCACCTGCGCCGATGGCTGCAAGGTGGTATAGCTGTAGCTAATGAAAATTCAATGGGATGTAAAACATGTATCTAGGGGTGTTGGTGTAGAAAACCCGATAGTTCAATATACACATATATACCATAAATCATAGTTAATCTAATCATAAGGCAACTTAGCTATCGTTTGGGGGCCCAATCTTGCAGATACCCTTGTTTTCGCTCACGGTCGCATTAGCGACCCCGAAAGTGTCATCTTTTAGCCAACATGGGGGTTGGGGTGGGGTGGGGTGGGATGTTAACGTTCATGTTGCGCTGATGATGTTACGCTGATGGAAGCCAGAAGATACAACATGCGCTTCAAAAAGGTTGTGCACAACAAGATGCAGTTTTCAAAATTAGTGAAAATTCGAAAGCTTCCCAAACTGACGGGAACGCAATGCTTAGACCAGGCATGGAACCAGTTGAAGAAGTTTGTTCCTAAGGAACTCAGGTCACGAGACTTGACAAGCCACCGTGACAATTCACGGCTGACAACATACGTTTTGGCTTTCATGTTCCGATGGAACGCAAGGCCGCACTTGCTGAAAGCAGTTGGCTCTCTTGCGAAGAAGGCATCTCGCTAGAGTAGAGGACAGAAAAAACGCTGATTTTTGGGAGAGCTGTGTGTTCAAGTCGCAGAGCCAATGGGATTTGCGAAAATGAGGTTCAAACCCATGGTAAAAATGGGACGTTCTGAACACAGGTTCCATCACGACCTTTCAAATACATTGCAAAACGCAGCACTGAATCCTTGAGACTCATTTCGAAGTGAGCAAATTACCCAGGGTCGTTAACACGGCCGCAACCTCAAAAATGAGCAGGTCTAGTATTTGTGGTTGTGAACAAGCACCCAATTTCAGGGATGATTGATGATTGGTTGTTTTTTTTTTATTGTGACCCATACCCACTTGATTTTCTTCTGCAAAACAGAGAGACCCAGAAACAAACCAGCCACACTCCAGATTCACCAGCAAAACATCTATATGTAAAAATAGGTCTTCTATTATATACCCTCTGGTAAACATACAAAAAGCTATTGAAAATGGCCCAGTCGAAATAGTGGAATTTCCCATTAAACATGGTGATTATGGCCATAGAAATAGTGGATTTTCCCATTTTTTTAATGGTGATTTTCCAGTTCGCTATGTTAAATTACCAGAGGGTAAAAGCCGCCACTTAAATTCTCAGCTGGAAATGTCGGTACCGTGGCTTTTTTCCCACCTGGGGTGGCACCTGCGACTGCGGCTGGAGCGACTGGAGCTGTGGACTTTGCAAGGACAAATTGCTGAAGCCCTGTACCAGCTGCCATTGCTGTTGACCTGGTCATATGGGGGGATGGTTTCAAACCAACCTTTGAATATGAGATTTAACGACATCTTCTAGGAATTCTGTATGGTTTTTTCGGGTTTATCTTAAAAATATTGGTTCTTACCAACTGGCATGCTGGGCATCATGAGGATTGACATCACCATGAAATCTGACGTGGAACTGCAAAAAATGGTCCTGAAAATTAAGCCAAAAAAATGCTTGGTTCTAGGGGATTATGATAATCCTATCATGTGGTAAAGCCAATAGTAACTAACATAACTATGGAAAATCACCATGTTTAATGGGAAAATCCACTATTTCTATGGCCATTTTCAATAGCCATGTTAGTTTACCAGAGGGTAAACCATCCCAAGTCATCACCATATTTATGGGCTCTATAAGCCATCCCCAGTCATGGTAGGTGTATTTTATATTGGCTACCATCGATCAGTTGGATTTGGAAAGTGCGAGCGAAAATTGCTCACATCGTCCCTCCCAACATCAACCAAGCATCAAACATCAATTTGATGTTGGAAAATCATATTGGTTGATGCTGGTCGTCCAGCTATTGAAACATCAGAATTATCAGAGATTGGACATTATATATATATCAAAAATACCAACAACTAGGTGAATCTCTGCAAAGTTTAATCAAGTTGAAGTAAATCATGATAATTCACCAACCTAAAATAACGCCCACAAGGGCAGAGCTGCCCTAATCCTAATCCTCTTTTACAGTGACAGTCGTGAAAAAAAGTTATCTCAGATCTATCAGATTAATGTGGGATTCACCCAATAATACGGGTTTTTCATGGGATATAATGAGATAATCATAGGATAATATCCCATTAATCCCATTAATCCCATTAATCATAGGATAATATCCCATTAATCCCATTAATCATAGGATAATATCCCAATATTATAGGATAATCATGAGACACATTTCTGGCATTTCAACTCACAAACGGCCAAAAAAACCACTGCCCACCTGGAGATTGAACTTGTGGGGACGCCATGGCTGAACTCGAACTCTCGAAGGGTCGTCACGAGTCGACGAGTTAAAACGCTGAAAAAAAAAAAAAACGCCACGGAAGAGGCGAGGGGGAACAGTAGCAGCTGTCGCAAGCTGAGGATCTCCTACTACTTTAGGGATCCCCGCCATGGAGGTTTAGTTAGAGGGACGATCCAACGATCCGGCAAAGCGCTGTCTGGTGACATGGATAACATCCTAAAAAATGTCAAGACAGATATGGCTGTGTCTCACATGACAAACACCCAAAAATTCTCATTTCATCCAATTTTGAATGGGGAAAGTGATGAAGAATAATGTGGTGTAACTAAATTTGAGACATATCCATGTGACCTTTTCAAACCTCAAAGATCATTCCAGTTCTAAGTGATTTTGGCCAGGGAAACTCCGAGAATTCCTGGTGTTAGACAAGGGAGTCAGGCCACCTGACTTGTAGACCGAAAAAAGTTTCAATAGTTTCGACTGCATTGTAGATTTCATTCCGAGTCCCACTTCATGAATTATGGTATTCCCCTATGATACATATATATATATATGGAGTAGTGCAATGTATATACAATGCCCTGGTTTATCGTCAACCAACTGCAAAGGTGCTCCCCAACCACCACTCCCGCTGTCCGCAACCTCCGCCAGCGCAGCCCACTGGAAGTTGGAAGCTCAGCCAAGGACCTTCCGACCACAAAAACTGGTGAAAAAGATCTGAAAATATGGTGTTTCCTGTGCATTTGATCATCCACAAACGGTATACAGAATGCTCAATGATTCAATGATAGATCATCAAACATATCATGATTTTGTTCCAAAAAATGCAGGAGTGCAGTACTGTGCACCACAAAGATGTGAAAGCACCACTTCTGGAGTGGACCAGTTCAATGCAACAATTCAGTCAAGGGAAAATCGACAGGAAACCCTCATGTTTGACAGGAAAACACCTGCTTTTCTGTATAGTTTCCCTTAAACCCGTGATTTCAACCATCATTTCACAGTTGATACTATGTAACTATCCCAACAAAGAAGGACATCTTCAACCTGGAAATCCGCCCACACCGCTTTGGCGGTGAAGGCGTGCTTATTGGGGGGCAACAGCAATACTAAATGCTCAATGACATTTGTTAATATAGCAGTCGCTATATCAGCTTTAGCTGGGGGGGGGCCAAAAACGGTTTCGCACCGAGACCAGAATACGGTGGTGTTTTCGACATTTTTCGAGGATTTTTGGGTGTCTGAGCGCAAGAGGGTATTGAAATGGAATTTTGGGTCATTTTGGTAGCTTTCCGGCAATGGAAAAACGGCCAAAAATGAAAAAAACATTGTACATAGCAAGATTTTGCAGGGTTTTTGGATGCCAGAGCATTGAAAACACTGCAAAAACAAGTGTTTTGGACTGACGTTATAGCAAAAAACGTGTAAATTACCGTATGCTTGACTGGAAACATTACAAAAACACTGTCAAAAGCAATGTTTTGGAAGGATTTACTGCCTTTATGGCAAAAAACGTGTAAATTACCGTCTGTTTGACTGGAAACATTGGAAAAACACTGTCAAAAACAATGTTTTGGAAGGATTTCTTATATATATGTTGGAGTTGGCTACCGGCATTGGCACATGGAAAAATTGAAGAAAACACTGTAAATAGCGGTATTTTCAACGGTTGGGGAGATAAGGGAATTGGAAGCATTGTCGAACATGATGTTTTCGACCGGTTTTATGGCGACAAAAGTGTAAAGTACCGTGCTTTGAAGGAAACCATTGCAAAAACATGGAAACACATTCAAAGAACACGGGATTTGGGGGAATATCTAGGCGTCGTTGTCTAGCTATTTGAAATTCCGCAGCTTGGAGAGCCTCCAAGGGAGGGAAAAGTGAAAATTCCATAGCTTGGGAAGCTGTCACGGCGGGGAAAAGTGAAAATTCCCTAGCTTGGGAAGCCCCCACGGGGGGGAAAAGTGAAAATTCCCTAGCTTGGGAAGCCCCCACGGGGGGGAAAAGTGAAAATTCCCTAGCTTGGGGAGCCCCCACGGGGGGGAAAAGTGAAAATTCCCTAGCTTGGGGAGCCCCCACGGGGGGGGAAAGTGAAAATTCCCTAGCTTGGGGAGCCCCCACGGGGGGGAAAAGTGAAAATTCCCTAGCTTGGGGAGCCCCCACGGGGGGGGGAAAGTGAAAATTCTTAGCTTGGGGAGCCCCCACGGGGGAAAACCACCCTTAGCCCCTCTCACGGACCGAAATAAACTTGCGGTGTGGGCGGCCACCCCACGCGAAGCGGGGTGAATATCCCCAAAGCGGGTTGAAACTTCGCCTTTTTCGAAGCCACCCAGGTTCCCATTATCGATGTGGAGGTTCCATGCCAGTTCCTCGCAGGGATGATCGATGGGGGAGAAAAATCGACAGGACACCAAAAAAACACCATGGTTTTTCCCAAAAAAAAATCCATGGCGTTCCTGTAGAGTTTTTTTTTCTGGAACAATTCTTCGGATCAAGATCTGTTGATATTGGCGAATTCACCTGTCCTGGTCCCCATGGTCCCCAAACACCTGCGAGCTTGCTGCATCCACCAAGCTGGACACCACTGACCTATGACCTGACGCCAGGAAATGCCCCAAATGTGGAGTTCTCTGAGAAACCAGGAGGTCTTGGTTTGTGAAAATAAATCAACGAACAAAGTGAACAAAGTCCCAAACTCATGACACCTCCCAAAAAAAACAATGTTATGTTCCCATGTGCTTTCCACTTACAGTAGTTCGCCACACTGCCAGATATATATAGAACACCTTGGATCCCCCTGGCCAGCACGATGGCACCGATCATCTGCGTGGATTCCATGGATCACCCATCATGTTGCCACCCCGAGACGCGCTGCCACTATGGTGGTGTTGCCAAAGCAGTCCTGGAAACCAGAGACCCACCGGAGAATTCAATGAATTAACCACTCTGGGGTAAACTTACTGGATGTTCCGGTTGATGACCATCAACGCAAGGTATCTGTTTCATTCATGGTTTTCTGAAGGGTCTGTTATGGATTCTTACAAATATATACAAATATGGGATGAAAAATCCTGGACGAAATAAACCAGGCTATAGACTTTATGGTGATCTTCATGGATTTGTTGCTGAATCCAGATGGAGAGTTATGGAGTCTTCAGGTGATCATCCTGGGAGCCCCAATCCGGCGAAGCGCTGGATCTCCCCGATTTTTTGGGGGGCGGGAAAAGGACCCTCCACTTCTGGCTGGTGAAACCCGCCCTGGTGAAAGCCTGTTTTTTCCTGAGCAAACCGCATTTCTGCTGACCCCAATTTTCAAGGTCCTGATCTCTGTTTTAAGAAACCCCAGGGTGCACAGATGCAAAAAGCTCAATGCCAGAACCTGAAATTGGGGGTTTGTACAACATCCATGTCTGGTCGGGGTGGTTCTCCATGGTTATCCCATGAAATCCAATGGTTCATCCAATGATCATGGACAAATCCAAGGATCCACTGGTTACACTGGTTACATATAATTTATGATGTCCCAACGGGTAAAATGATGTAAAATGCATCCCATCCCCTCTTTTTCATAGCCCACCAGAAACCATGGTCTACCATTTTGCTTTTCTGAGGATTTCCATAATTGTGATAGATATAATTTACTGATTGTACACAGATTCACCAAAAAAAAATGGGTTTTCTGACAGATCACCATCATTTGGGACACCTTTTTGGGGTCTTCAATCGGGGGGATTCTACCCCCTCCTTTTGAAGCCAGTCCTGGAGATGTCCCGTTGCTGTGGCAAACGACCTCGGCCCAATGGGCAGGGGGTGGGCAGTGCCCCCAGTGCTTCCCCTCTTCGGATTTCCATGGTAGATGATTTTCATTAGTCATGTTGAATCAATAAATATGATATGTAATAATGGGATATGATATGTAATTATTCATGGGAATATGATTTTCCCATTGGGATTGATATCATCTATCATTGAATATGTAATCAATGTATATAATCATGCTAAAAATACCCATGGAAATGTTTGGTAAAAATCTGGCCATAGTTGAAATATGTCAATTGACATTTCCCTAGGCCCTGGTGATGTTCATGGTGATGTATTCTGCCGCAGGGTGAACCGATGAACCCATGAACCTTTGCGCCATGCAAGGCCGGTCATCTTTAAAACAAGGGACCTTTGCTTCAAGAATGACCAAAATGTCATGTTGCTTGTGTATTTATTGTATTTGTACATGTATCATATCCAGAATCCAGAATCCAGAACGGCAAATCGATGTGTATACACTTTTTTATACATATGGCTTTGTCTGAAATTAGCTACCCCATATTCCAATGAATTATGAAAAAATCTTCCCATTAAAATGGCTATTTTTGGGTATCCTCTATTTTCAGACAAACCTATATGTATCAGTTATAAGTTGGTTTATAAATCCCATTAACTATAGTTATAATTATCATAAACCATAGTTATTGGAGTATGTATACGCAAATCCATAACAATTCACGAACTACACATGGAGCTAACTGGGACATTACCACCATCCATCCCACAGCGTCGTCGAAAAGACACCGGCCTGGGCGTTTGGCCGGTGGCTCTGTTCGTTGCTGGCCCTGGGACGAACTCTTGCTGTGGACGTGGAGAGAGGAAATAGCCCCAAAAAATGGAAAGATGCAATTTATTTAGTGGGATTAACCATATCTATTTTTTTTAATTCATAATTTAATGGGATTTTCTATATATTTAATGGAAAATCATTTATATATGTTTAATGGGATTTTCCTTTGCCAAGATTTTAGTGGGATTCGATTTGTCCATCTTAGGGTCTCCAAGACAAATCCAACAAAAATCGGCTATGAACACCAGGCTTTCTGGATAACAATGAACAACGGATAACACTCAAAAAGGCTGACGTGCATTGTTGAGAATTGTGATTTCCTGCCAGCAGTAAACAACAGGGCAATTGATAGTCTTTCTATATCCACATCTGGTACAAATATATATATATATATACACATATGTATACACGGACAGATAGACAGATAGACAGATAGATGGATGGA